ATTATGATGTTTTTGTTGCAGAATTGTTTTACTAATATTTTAAGTCAACCTCTGGGACTCATTCTGTACAGCAGACTGAAAAAGTTCGGATCTCTCTTTTTATCGCTTCTTCTTTCTCTTCCTCTCTCGCCCAATAAGTATTATAATAGAAGGAGATAATGAGTAATGCGAAGCAAAGAAAGGCCTCCCATTCTCCTCGCAGCAACAGTAGAAGCTAAAGACTTTCTAATGAGCTCACGCACCTCAGAGGAGATTACATCTAAACTGTGGCACTTCTCCTAATTGCAATCAACACAGGCAGTGCCAAGAGCTGTGAATAACCCAGACTGAACCTGCTGTCCCTTCAGCCGTCCATTACACAATACAGCATATTATTCACACATTATATGCCTGTGAGTGATAAGGATACACTATAAAAATGTTAAAAGATTGATGGAGTATGTTTTACAGACTAAAATACTATTTTAGGCTCTACTTTGAAATGTCATGTTTAATTTGATGTGTTACTTGCCATTTGTTTGTAATTATTTGTTTCATTTACTAGCAGTTTTTGAGTAAAAACTGTTTTAAAGTAAATCCTACACCAGTGTAGTAGATACTATGTGCTTAGCACATTAAATAAACCCATATGATACCTTATAAACTCACACTAGTTCATCAAATTGTACTGGTTATATCAGACAGAAATTGTGAACTGTGAGCTACCAGCAGGGTATATTGGTCACAATTTGTTTTACAGGCTGTGCCCCATCCAGAATTTTTGCTGAGAGGAAGAAAAGAAAGAAAAAACTGTAAATCCTTTTTATTCGTTTCTCACTTTCACTTTTTGTTTATCTGACTGTGGAGTTTTTGTGACTCAAATGGTCCTCTGCAGATGTCCAGAACAGGTTTATGGTTCTCTATTTCTCTCAAAAAAAATTCAGTGTGGTATTTGATTTGAATTGAAGAAACCTTTCCGTTGAATTCACACTCGTACCACTTTTGTTTTGGACTTTGGGCCACTGCGAATCAATGTCTATAAAATAGTGCAGGATATCTGAACATCTCCCAGTATTTTGTCCTGTTTGCTTCTGTTTGGTTCCTATCCCTTCTTTAACCAAGCAGATGTTTGTGCATGCAAAGCGCAGTCTGTGCTGCAGCATCCTCTGACCTCCAGACACTGGACGTTTTTTTTTTTTATGTACATTCTCACCAACCAATTTCATAGCTCATTTACGGCTTCTTCCTCATGATACACACCTAAAAATGCTCTCTCACAACACACACACAGACTCACACACACAGGACAAGAGAGCTTGAGGGCTGAATCCAAATTTAGAAACACTCTAAAACCACACAGTATTTTTAGATCCGGGTAACCTTTGCTTGCCATGCATTCAGATCGTTGCAAATGGCTTTTGTCGACTGAGAGCAAGAACTTTTAAAGGGTTATTATTATTATGGAAACCCAAGATTGCACCAATTACAGGATACTTTTATGACATTATGTCATCTCACTCTAAATAGCCACAGATTGCATTGCAAAATAATGTTCTTAGTTGATATTTTTATTGTATTGTTTTCTGGGAAAAATATATGAAAGAGCGCCTATTATGCAAAATTCACTTTTAGATTTGAACATAAATGTGTGTTGGCAGTGTGATTTTTTTTTTTATGGACATTCTCACCAACCAATTTCATAGCTCATTTACGGCTTCTTCCTCATGATACACACCTACAATTGCTCTCTCACAACACACACACAGACTCACACACACAGGACAAGAGAGCTTGAGGGCTGAATCCAAATTTAGAAACACTCTAAAACCACACAGTATTTTTAGATCCGGGTAACCTTTGCTTGCCATGCATTCAGATCGTTGCAAATGGCTTTTGTCGACTGAGAGCAAGAACTTTTAAAGGGTTATTATTATTATGGAAACCCAAGATTGCACCAATTACAGGATACTTTTATGACATTATGTCATCTCACTCTAAATAGCCACAGATTGCATTGCAAAATAATGTTCTTAGTTGATATTTTTATTGTATTGTTTTCTGGGAAAAATATATGAAAGAGCGCCTATTATGCAAAATTCACTTTTAGATTTGAACATAAATGTGTGTTGGCAGTGTGTGTACACAACTACCCTATGATGATAAAAATACACCCGCTCCTTTTTTTAATCCTCATAAATAATAAGCAGTGTCTCAATCACAGAATCCGTAAAATGAGATGTCACATTTTACAAGCCCCGCCCACGACTGTTAACGGACACTGATGTATTAGCAGCAACCACGCCCTGAGTGAGCCGCACACAATCCGCCATGTTTATCTTCATGCTAGAGCATTTAAAAGCAGCATTCAAGTAAGAAATATCTTCTTATTACAGCTACAAAAATTATTCATTATACATTTATTATTCATTAACTTGTTTGTTTTTACCATGTTTGTTTTTAACATAAACTTGTGTGTATTTGACAGTTTAAGCACAATAAGATATGAAACAGATTAGTACTAAGTAAGTTTAGTACTCATGTACCGTGTGGTAGCCACTTTCTGTGCATGTGTTTCGGATGTGTGCGCTCAGAAAACTATATCAGACGTTTAAACTAATATGGCTTTAAAACGCATGATTTCAGTGCATTAGACATGATAATCTAAACCAAACAGCTGTTTTTTAGCAGAGTATCTGAGGTACAAGCTGTAAAAGCACAGCTCTATTCTGGAAAAGGGGGTGGGGAGTAGCAGCTCATTTGCATTTAAAGAGACGTGTTTATGTTTCAACTCAAAATAGGCATTTTCAAAATGATATAATAGATGATCTTTGGGGTATTTTGAGCTTAAACTTCACAGACACATTCTGGGGACACCTGAGACTTATTACATCTTGTAGGGGCATAATAAGTGCCCATTAAAAAAACATCTAAACAAAGTATATATATCGCTGTTACTAGCGATGTATTTGGTGGTGGTTATATTTTCAAATTTGTTTCAAATTCAGAGACAATCAGTAGATGTACTTCTGTAGTTTTTGGTCCTCAGGGAGCGAAACTTTTTAAGCCTAAAAAAGCTCAGAGAGTGAGGTAACCAGGAAGAGAGGCTTCACTTGCTCTAAATTGTATTGATTGCATGGAGGAGTCCCTCCTGTATTTAACTGTAGTGATACTTGAGCTCGGAGGCAATCTGCGTTATTTCATGATAAAATATCTGACAGATCCTTTTATTTGCATCAAGCAGGGATGCCGAAGGTGAAATCACGAGTCCAGATCTCCATAAAGTATATAAATCTGTAACACAGATGAGGCCTGTCTTTAATGAGGAAGGATGTGTTTGATGTAAATATAAATTTCCATGTCTTATTAATGATAAGGATCTGAACGTTATTAATCATTACTTTGTAAATACACGACCTCTGAGCAATGATGTCTTCTCTGAAACCAAGATAACCCCAACAAACATCAAGATAGTTATTAATATCAATCAGTCTCAAAATATCTTCAAAGGACTTCATAAAAATCTCTGAGTCCTTAGCTGCCATAACACAAGGTAATTTATATGCCTACTCCCTTTTTATTTACATAAATATTATATTTCCACTCATTTAGAGTAAACAGTTTCGACAGTTAGATCATTAGCACTTTATTCATAAGTAACAAAAACCCGTTCGGAATGAAATGAATCTTTTAGTCTCCACAAGGGGTCTGATAAACCATCTGTTCTCAAAGTTATACCAACACCCACTGGGTTTTATTAGTTTCTCTCGCTCAGCTCTCTCTCCAATCACCAGAGCTGCCGTCAAGGCTGGAGACGCCATTAGGGCAACATATCAATGCCGACCTTCATACACTTTTAGAGGTCCAGAACTTCCCCACAGTCTCCAGCTCATAGTTCCCCAATCCCCTGAACGCTTCATTCAGCTGCCTTCAACACAACACTTACAGACGTCGCACAGCTGGATACATGCCCTTGTTTCCCATTTCCCACTTTTTCTTTATCTTGAATGTGCTTATCAGTCATTTGCACTGTACACTAATACAGTATATACAGCATACACACTACTTGAGGGATCAGTAATGCTAAGGTTTCAGTAGGGTTTTAGATAATACATTTAAACATCTTTCAGTTTTAGCAAGGGTACAGCTAATGATTCATAGCCATTCTTTTGTCAGGACCTCGTTCAGCAAAAGGTCGGGATTACATGGGATTATCCACAGTGGAAATTGCACATTTTGAGTGCAATATTATGTTTTTATACAAACAAAAGTTTCGGGTTGAAAAATCAACACTTGACTTCTAAATTTATTTTATGAGAATACAGTAAAAAAAACTGTAATATTGTGGAATAGTATTATGGTTTAAAATAACTTTTCTGTTTTTATATATTTAAAAAATTAAGTGGCTCATTTATTTTAATGTTGAAAACAGTTTTTGCTGCTTAATTTTTTTTTTTTTTTGTGGAAATCATGATATACATATATAAAGTTTGGGAAAGTAAATAAATAAATAAATATGGGTTTCATCATTGATAATAATAAGAACCATTAATAATTGAGCACTAATAATAATTGATAACAACTGAGCCAAAATCATAATTATAGACTGATGTCCGATGGATCATGTGGCACTGAAGACTAGTTTCAAATTACTAAATGAACACTATTTTTTTAAGGTGGGGTTATGGTTTGGGGAAAGAAATTATAATTCGCTCAGTATAAAAAAAAAAAAGGATGCCTAAGGAAAGTTTCCATAATTATTATATGTGTACCAACATCTGTGTGTGTGTGTGTGTGTTCTGAAAGCGTCCCAATCGGGACACTAACAGATCTAAGAGTTCATTGTTCTGCTGGAGTTGTCCTAATCATCTGACAAGGAGTGTATGTGAGACCATGAGTGCAACTCATGGTTTCTTTTTTCTTATGCACACCCACTCTCAATTCCCCTCTCGCTCTCTTTATATCATTCTCACAAACACCCTTGCGTTCAATTTCACTTATCTTTTCCTGCTCTCCTTTCATAGGCATACAGTCTGGCACAAGTAAAGGCCAGCCACACTGCTCAGATCCCAGCCGCCCATGCAACCCCTGTCTGGACGCCACCAAAGCCTGCAACCTGAATGAAAACTGCAAGCGTCAGCGTTCCAACTACATTTCCACCTGCACGCGTGCGCAGACCCAGGGCCAGCAACCCTCACAGCCTCAGTCGCAGGACAGCTGCAACAGAAAGCGCTGCCATAAGACCTTGCGTCTGTTCTTTGAGCGTGTTGACACACAATACAGCTACGGGTTGCTCTTCTGCTCCTGTAAGGACCAGGCCTGTGCTGAGAGGAGGAGACAGACCATTGTACCCTCCTGTTCCTATCAGGACAAGACCAAACCCAACTGTCTTCAGCTGCGCAACACCTGCCGCCTGGATGTGCACTGCAGGTAGGCGAGTCAGTGCTTTTCATGATAGTCCTGAATCAAATTGACATTTATTCATTTACCAGATGGTTTTTATCTAAAATCACTTACCATAGCTACAAAACAAATGATTCATCTTAAGAAGGCCGTAACATAACAAGTTACAGTTTCCATAAATCTGTAACTCTTGAATCTTTATTTATAACCATGGCTTTCCCACAAAGTCGCCATGGAACAGCAACCACAAACTTATAAATTACAGAGAAAATTCCCTTGGATCTGGGGTTATATAGATAGTTCATCCAAAAATGAATTTTCTGTCATAATTTCCTCTTCTTAATGTCATTCCAAATCTCAATGACTTTCTTTCTTCTGTAGAACACAAAAAGAGACATTTTTAATAATGTGCTTGTCACTTTTTTACATGCAATTACAATGAATGGGGACAGATGATTTAAGCTAAAAAACATCTTCTTTTTAAGCCTAAAAAAGCTCAGAGAGTGAGGTAACCAGGAAGAGAGGCTTCACTTGCTCTAAATTGTATTGATTGCATGGAGGAGTCCCTCCTGTATTTAACTGTAGTGATACTTGAGCTCGGAGGCAATCTGCGTTATTTCATGATAAAATATCTGACAGATCCTTTTATTTGCATCAAGCAGGGATGCCGAAGGTGAAATCACGAGTCCAGATCTCCATAAAGTATATAAATCTGTAACACAGATGAGGCCTGTCTTTAATGAGGAAGGATGTGTTTGATGTAAATATAAATTTCCATGTCTTATTAATGATAAGGATCTGAACGTTATTAATCATTACTTTGTAAATACACGACCTCTGAGCAATGATGTCTTCTCTGAAACCAAGATAACCCCAACAAACATCAAGATAGTTATTAATATCAATCAGTCTCAAAATATCTTCAAAGGACTTCATAAAAATCTCTGAGTCCTTAGCTGCCATAACACAAGGTAATTTATATGCCTACTCCCTTTTTATTTACATAAATATTATATTTCCACTCATTTAGAGTAAACAGTTTCGACATTTAGATCATTAGCACTTTATTCATAAGTAACAAAAACCCGTTCGGAATGAAATGAATCTTTTAGTCTCCACAAGGGGTCTGATAAACCATCTGTTCTCAAAGTTATACCAACACCCACTGGGTTTTATTAGTTTCTCTCGCTCAGCTCTCTCTCCAATCACCAGAGCTGCCGTCAAGGCTGGAGACGCCATTAGGGCAACATATCAATGCCGACCTTCATACACTTTTAGAGGTCCAGAACTTCCCCACAGTCTCCAGCTCATAGTTCCCCAATCCCCTGAACGCTTCATTCAGCTGCCTTCAACACAACACTTACAGACGTCGCACAGCTGGATACATGCCCTTGTTTCCCATTTCCCACTTTTTCTTTATCTTGAATGTGCTTATCAGTCATTTGCACTGTACACTAATACAGTATATACAGCATACACACTACTTGAGGGATCAGTAATGCTAAGGTTTCAGTAGGGTTTTAGATAATACATTTAAACATCTTTCAGTTTTAGCAAGGGTACAGCTAATGATTCATAGCCATTCTTTTGTCAGGACCTTGTTCTGCGAAAGGTCAGGATTACATGGGATTATCCACAGCAAAAGTGCTGTGCCCAGGCAAACTCAGGATGAATTTGCAAATTTTTGAGCTAGAGGGATTTTGAGTGCAATTATGTCTTTTTTATTTATACACACACACCGAGGTTGACAGATCAGCATATTAGAAAGATTTCTGAATGAGAACACCATAAAAACAGTAATACTGTGAAATATTATTATGTTTAAAACAACTGCTATTTTAATATATTTTAAAACTAATTGGATTCATTTATTTTAATATTAAAAATAGTTTTTGCTGCTTAATATTGTTGTGGAAATCGTGATATGCATGCATAAAATAATAATTTCATTCAACAAGGATGCATCAAATTGAATAAAAAACAAAAATAAAGGCAGTAAAGACATTTATAATGTTACAAAACAATTATATTTTAAATAAATACTGTTCTTTTGAACTTTCTGTTCAAAAGTTCAAAGTTCTGTCCTATAAAAAAAATGTACCATGGTTTCTAAGCTGTGAAAACATGTTTCAGCATTGATAATAATAAGAACCATTAATAATTTAGCATTAATAATACTTGATATTCACTCAGCCAAAATCCATAAATTAGAATGATTTCTGAAGGATCATGTGACACTGAAGACTGGAGTAATGACTGCTGAAAATTCAGTTTTGCATCACAGGTATAAATAATATATTTTTTTTTATATTAAAGTAGAAAACTGTTATTTTAAATTATAAATACAGTATATATATTTAAAATAATATAATATTATAATAATATAGTTGTACTGTTTTACTATATTTATATATATATATATATATCCTTTTATATATATATCCTTGTTGGGCATAAGAGACTTCTTTGAAAAACAATGAAAAAAAAATGCAATTTGTGTGTGTATGTGTGCATGTTTATGTGGTTTATGAGGACACAAATTTGTATAATGACATGGGTATGACATAGGTATTACAACATGAAGGTGATTTATGGGGACACTTTCGGTGTCCCCGTAATTCAAAAGACTTATAAATCATACAGAATTAGTTTTTTTTTTAAAATTCACAAAGTTTTCTGTGAGGGGTAGGTTTAGGTGTAGAGCCATAGAAAATATGGTTTGTACAGTATAAAAACCATTACACCTATGGAGAGTCCCTAAACCATAAAAACCATGTGTGTGTGTGTGAAAAATATAAGAGTAAGAAAGCCACATATCCTTTTATATATATATCCTTGTTGGGCATAAGAGACTTCTTTGAAAAACAATGAAAAAAAAATGCAATTTGTGTGTGTATGTGTGCATGTTTATGTGGTTTATGAGGACACAAATTTGTATAATGACATGGGTATGACATAGGTATTACAACATGAAGGTGATTTATGGGGACACTTTCGGTGTCCCCGTAATTCAAAAGACTTATAAATCATACAGAATTAGTTTTTTTTTTGTGGAAAATCTAGAAATGCACAAAGTTTCATGTAAGGGGTAGGTTTTGGCATAGGGCGATAGAAAATACGGTTTGTCAAGTATAAAAACCATTATGGAGAGTCCCCGTAAACCATAAAAACCAACATATGTGTGTGTGTGTGTGTGTGTGTGTGACCTACATTATAAAGGGCCAGTGAATACAATGTAGCGTGTATTCAGGTTTCAAGCTAGCTGCCCTACATTATGAGGACATCCAGCTGTCCCATAATTCAAACTGCTAAATAAACAGTTTTTTATTATTAAAAATGTATAAATGTTTAGGGTGGAGTTACGGTTAGAGCATAGCAAATATAATTTGCTCGGTATAAAAAAAACGCGTATGGAAAGTCCTTATAATGATATGTGTACCAACATCTGTGTGTGTGTGTGTGTGTGTATTCCGAAAGTGCCACAATCGGCACACTGACTTGGAAACAGATCTAAAAAGTTCATTGTTGTGCTAGAGTTGTCCTATTCATCTGTCAAGGAGTGTACAGTATGTGGGACAGTGCAGCTCATGGTCAGTGCAGATTTTCCTATGCACACCCACTCTCAATTCCCCTCTCGCTCTCTTTATATCATTCTCACAAACACCCTTGTGTTCGATCACACTTAACTTTTCCTGCTTTCTTCTCGTAGGCATACATTCTGGCACAAGTAAAGGCCAGCCACACTGCTCAGATCCCAGCCGCCCATGCAACCCCTGTCTGGACGCCACCAAAGCCTGCAACCTGAATGAAAACTGCAAGCGCCAGCGCTCCAATTACATCTCCACCTGCACCCGTGCGCAGACCCAGGGCCAGCAACCCTCACAGCCTCAGTCGCAGGACAGCTGCAACAGAAAGCGCTGCCACAAGGCCTTGCGTCAGTTCTTTGAGCGTGTTGACTCGCAATACAGCTACGGGCTGCTCTTCTGCTCCTGTAAGGACCAGGCCTGTGCTGAAAGAAGGAGACAGACCATTGTACCCTCCTGCTCCTATCAGGATAAGACCAAACCCAACTGTCTTCAGCTGCACAGCACTTGCCGTCTTGACGTGCACTGCAGGTAGGAGAGTCAGTGCGTTTCATGGTAGTCCTGAATTAAATTGACATTTATTCATTTACCAGATGGTTTTTATCTAAAATCACTTACCATAGCTACAAAACAAATGATTCATCTTAAGAAGGCCGTAACATAACAAGTTACAGTTTCCATAAATCTGTAACTCTTGAATCTTTATTTATAACCATGGCTTTCCCACAAAGTCGCCATGGAACAGCAACCACAAACTTATAAATTACAGAGAAAATTCCCTTGGATCTGGGGTTATATAGATAGTTCATCCAAAAATGAATTTTCTGTCATCATTGACTTATCTTAATGTCATTCCAAATCCGAATGTCTTTCTTTCTTCTGTAGAACACAAAAAGAGACATTTTGAATAATGAGCTAGTCGCTCTTTTACATGCAATTACAATAAAAGAGGACAGATGCTTTTAAGCTTAAAAAAGACATAAAAGCAACATAGAAACATAAAAGTTTACATGTATATTTTAAATGTATTTTAAAAGTACACTGACAATTGTTTACAATTTTCTCTCAGTAATTGCTAGTAAATTTCACAAACAATGCAAATGCTATGCAACACATTTTGAAGCAGAAAACCTGAAATAGTATTTTTTTTTTACATCAGTAATCTTTGTTGTATTTATGCTGAAAATATATGTTACAGTCTAGCACAACTTGTGTGCCATATTTGACATTATGTATTATAAGTATTATATAAGTATAAGTCATTATTCACTGAAAATCTTATAAAAAATAAATTATTTCATATGGCTTCATAAAATGGCTTACAATTTGCACTTTTTTTATATTTGGTGCTTTTTTTTGAAGCTTGAAAGTTCTCATTCTTTCAAGCTTCAAAGGGACACAAAAGCACAATAAAGTTATTATAAAATATCAACCTCTGTTCTT